ATTCCCAGCCTGAATTCCCAAATTTTGGATTTGGGCTCTTCTCTCTGAGCCCCAGACTGTCCCTGGAGTTCCCTTGGAGCTTCCCACACCCATTCCCAGCCTGAATTCCCAAATTTTGGAGCCTTGGGCTCCTCTCTCTGAGCCTCAAACTGTCCCTGGATCTTCCTACTCCCATTCCCAGCCTGAATTCCCAAATTTTGGAGCCTTGGGCTCCTCTCTCTGAGCCCCAAACTGTCCCTGGAGTTCCCCTGGATCTTCCCACTCCCATTCCCAGCCTGAATTCCCAAATTTTGGAGCCTTGGGCTCCTCTCTCTGAGCCCCAAACTGTCCCTGTCCCTGGAGTTTCCCACTCCCATTCCCAGCCTGAATTCCCAAATTTTGGAGCAGGAGCTGGTGGTGACGACGCTGAAAGGCCTTGGCTACACCACCCTGATGTGTGGCGACGGCACCAACGACGTGGGAGCTCTGAAACACGCGGATGTGGGTGAGTCCAAGGGCTCCAAATTCCAGGAATTCCTCCTTCCCCCCCAGGCCTGACCTTTCCATGGAATTCCCAGGCCTTGGATCCACCTGCTCCACATTCTTTTTGGGAAGCTAGAAAGGAAATCAGGAGCATTCCCTATATGGCTACCAAGAGGAATGAGCTGCCAAGGCTTTTCCCATGGAATAGCATCCCTAATTTTTTTCCCCGAGCTCTCGGAGCAGCACCGGATTCCCTCCTGGTTCAGGGTGGGAATAGCAGTTGGGAATTCTGTTCTGGTCAGAGGGATCACAGCTCTTGATCCTTGTTTTCCTCCAGGTGTGGCTCTGTTGGCCAATGCTCCCGAGAGGATTCCCGAACGGAAAAAGAGACCTAAAGATGGTCCTGGAGATGGGAAAACTGCTGTGGGAGTTGGGAATGTCAAGCCAACATCCCGTGGAGCCAAGCACAGGGTGATATCCCAGAGGGAAGAGCAGTTGGCCATCCACAGGGTGAGGATCCAGAGGGTTATCCATAGGGATTTCTTCCTTCCCTGTTGATCCAGGAGAACTGGGAATGCTGGGAGGGAATGGGAATCCTGGAATAGTTTGGGTGGGAAAGGAGTTTAGCTCTTCCAGGTCTATCCCTGTGTCCTGTCCCTCCATCCCTGTATCCTGTCCCTCCATCCCTTATCCCAAATCCTTCTCCAGCTCTCCTGGAATGAGCTCTGAGATCTCCCTGGAATTTTCTCTGCTCCAGCTAAACATTCCCAGATCATCTCCAGCCCTTGGAGCCTTTCCAGGAGCTCCATGGGATGATCCCAACCTTCCCACATCCCAAGCTGGATTTGGGTGGGGGAATGAATTCCCATCCACCCTCCCAACTTTTCCTTGGATCTTTTTGGCTTGGGATGAAGAGATGGGAATTTTATCCACCTTTTCCCATCCTCAGGAACGACTGAGCCAAGTGCTGAAGGACTTGGAAGAGGAACGAGCTCCGGTGGTGAAATTGGGCGACGCCAGCATCGCCGCTCCCTTCACCTCCAAACTCTCCTCCATCCAGTGCAGTAAGTACCTGGAAAAAAAAACTGGGAAGAACCCATGGGAATAACTTTGGGATAAGGACAAACCATCCAAACTCATTACTTGCTCATCCTCTAGGAGATTCCTCAAGGTTTGGGATAGAGTTGGGATGAGAACGACGGACGGAAGAAAGACCCAACGTTGAGGGTTGTTTTTTTTTAGGTTTGGAGAGGGGGATAATTCCCAACTTTTCCTACTTTTCCGTGCAGTTTGCCACGTGATCAAGCAGGGAAGATGCACCTTGGTCACCACTTTGCAAATGTTCAAGATTTTGGCACTCAACGCTCTCATCTTGGCCTATAGTCAAAGTGTTCTCTACTTGGAAGGAGTTAAGTTCAGCGACTTCCAGGCCACTCTCCAGGGACTTCTCCTGGCTGGATGTTTCCTCTTCATCTCCAGATCCAAGGTGAATGTTGGGAATGCCATTGGATGAGGCTTGGGCCAACCCAACACCACCAGCCTTTGGGAAAAAGGATCTTTTTTTCCCTCAAAAAAAAATCTCATTTTGGTTCAGGATGGCCCTGGAGTTCCCCTGGAGCTTCTCACAGCCATTCCCAGCCTGAATTCCCAAATTTTGGAGCCTTGGGCTCCTCTCTCTGAGCCCCAAACTGTCCCTGGATCTTCCCACACCCATTCCCAGCCTGAATTCCCAAATTGTATCTCCCCTTGGATTTGGGATATTCCAGAGGTCATTGCATCCCTCAGGAAGCTTCTCCTGGTCTCACCTGAAGAATCCCATGGAAAAAAAGGTTCACTTGAGGCTTTTCCTTGGAATCTTGGAATTTAGGGAATGCTGGAATGGATTGGCTGGGAAAAAAACCTGGAAAATGATCTAGATCCTCACAGGGAATGGACACCAAATCCTATCCCACCTACCTTGGCTACTCCAAGGTTGGAACAACTCCGGCTAAACTCCGGAATCTTCGGAGATATTCCCTAAAAACCCAAGCCTGGTAGGATTTGGGAATGATCCAACTCTTCCTACTCCTTTTTCCAGCCCCTGAAAACATTATCCAAGGAACGACCTCTTCCCAACATTTTCAACCTCTACACGGTGTTGACAGTTCTGCTGCAATTCCTGGTGCATTTCCTGAGCTTGGTATTCCTGTATCGCGGAGCGCAGGAACGCAGCGGAGCCAGGTGGGAATCTCGGAGCAATTCCGGGTGGGAATGATCCAAGGAAACCTCAGAGCATCTTCCAGAGGAGTTGGGAGAAAGGATGGGACACTGGGAATGGTTTCCCCCCAGGAAAAGGGAAATTTGGGATGGAATTCCAAGCTGGAAAAGGGTGTGAAGGGTTGGGATGGAATTCCATCCATCCCAGTTGTGGCTGCTCCAGCCCTGGGAGTGTCCAATCCAGAGCTTGGAGCCAAGTGGGATAGGGAATGTGTCCACATGAGGACACAGGTGGGATGGGATGATCCGTCGGATCCGTTGTCCCAAGTTTTTTTCCAGCTTTCCTGGAGCTCCTGGAAGTGACTCTGAGGTCTCTTTGGAATGTTCTCTGCTCTAACTGAACATTCCCAGTTCTCCCAGTCTGTCTCCAGGGCAAAGCTACTCCAGAATCCTGGAATTATGGATTGGTTTGGGGTGGGAAGGAGCTTCAAGCTCACCCAGTTCTACCTTCAACCATGGGAAGAGATAATTCCATGACCTGGGAATTTCCAATCCTTATCCCACCTGGATCCGTGGACGAGAATCCGACGTTTTCCCAACACTTCCATCCTTGCTCTTCCCTCATCCATCCAAGTGGCTCTGTCCAGCCAAAGCAGGATCTGGAAGGATCCAGAGGGAATATTCTCCAGGTGTATATCCAGGTGTGTGCTGAGCTCCAGGATTTTCCTGCAGGCAGGAAGAATTTGTGGATCTGAGTAAGGAATTTGAGCCCAGCCTGGTGAACAGCACAGTTTACATCCTCTCCATGGCCATGCAGATGGCAACGTTCGCCATCAACTACAAGGTCAGTGCCAAGGAGGGAACAACCTGGCTCAGGTGGGGCCAAAAGGGGCTCAGGTGGGTCCAGAATCATCTCAGGTGGATCTAAAGGGTCTCAGGTGGATCCAAAAAGGTCTCAGGTGGGTCCAAAATCATCTCAGGTGGATCTAAAGGGTC